ATGCGATACTTCAAAATGCGCATTAAAATAGGGTGATGGAAACTGATGTGAATGTATGTGGCGTTGTACAGTATATTGAGACGGAGGCGATAGAATGTGCGCTGTAGCACGATACTACGATATATCTTCAGAAGCAGATCGTGGAGACATTTTTATCGTCCATGATCAAAAATCATCCTATCGCACACCCCTATTTGCCTCTGTAATTTGATTTTTATTTTCTGTAACCCAAGGTCGTTACTCCATTTTTCCCCACAGTCTATTATAGCCCCAATACACCCTAGATAGGGCATTGTAAAAGAATCCAAAGGTTCAAATCTCAGAAGATCCCCATTTATTCTGTTTAGAATTTAGAATTTAAAGGGGTCCTATTATGCTCTTTTAGAAAGTCTTGATTTTGTTTTGGGGGTGTACTAGAACAGGCTCTCATACTAGGTTGTTCGAAAAACACATTCTTTTTCACATATTTTACATTATTTCAACACCTCTCTCCCCAGTCTGGCATGAACGGCTCGAATAGTTCCTGTATCAAATGAAGGCCGGCCTTCTGAAATACGAAATGTGCTGTGATTGGTTAGCTGGGCCAGAGTGTGTTGTGATTGGCAGCACTCGGCGCCTGGTCGGGAAATGTCATGCCATAGCCGTCTGCGAGCTTCAGTGTAAATATTGCGTCAGTATCAAATCAATTTGAGCACGATTTAAACCCGGATGATTGTAAGCACTCTTAAGTTCGTCTGCCTGGGGAAAGCTAGCGTGTCTCTGACATAGTGATAACACTCGTTGCCTTCTCTAGTGCAGCTCAACCAGGTCTCATCCCATTCCTAGATATTTGTGGAATCACAAATCCCGAAAAAAATATGCATTGTAGTCCAAACAAGTCGTTCGTTGTAGTTTTTGAAATGTGATTTCTGTTAAATAAAATATCTCCTTTTGAAGTGGACTCTGAACTTCGCAGGGCTGCGTTTCCCGATAACGTTGTCTCTAAGCTCGCTACGAAGACTCTAAAGGTATATCTTAACTAAAGGTATACCTGTTCTAGGCGTGTTCCCCGAACTATACCTTAGGATGTTAGGTAAACCTTCTTTAAAGCATGACTTGCTAGTCTGCCAACAAGAGTGAAACACCATAGAGCTAAAGAATTTAAACGATTTTTTTAGAACTTTAAAGTTCTTTTAAACCAGCGCACCAAATGGTATGAAAAAAAAAAAAACTCAAGACCTAGAAAAATAATTAAATAAAGTTAGAGGCATAGATTAAGCACACATAAAGAGTACAGAAATATCTGCAGAACTTAGAAAACATATACACTTTATTTGACAGTTTAAAGGTCAGTTACGAATAAGCCCTGCGTCTGATGTCCGGACTGTTGTTTGGGGGTGAAAAAAGCCATCAGTAATCAACCCGTTGAGCGAAGGTCATCAGAAGAGTTTTCAAAGACGACAACAAATCAAAATGTTCTCTGAATCTAATATCAAACAGGCCCGGTGTCAGCATTTATCAGAGAAATCAGACTCAATCTCCCCTCTGTCCTCAAACCCACCTCCATACACTGCTGCCCTTTGAAGTAAAAAGAATGCCGGATCGCAAATTACCCAAGAGATGTCTGAGATAGTCTTTGAAGCCCTACTTTGATAGCATAGTTTCCCTTCTCCTACCCCTTCATCTCCCGTTTTCTGTGTGCTTGGAGGTTCAGGCAGGCTCTGTTGGGCCTCTTGCATGTGGTTATGGTAAGCTATGTGGCATCATTTGAATTGCAAGGACCAGAGAGGAGGTTTAAAGAAAAAAGCCTGTCGATATTCTGCCCTGAATTGACACCTCACACAGTCCCAAAAAGACCTCTGAGGTTGATTCAAGGGCAGGAGTTTTCTGCAGCGTTTCATACTGAAAATGGTAAATAAAACAAAATAATTTAAAATAAAATAAAAATAAAACATACTGTATACAATTTAATATTTAGATGGAACTAAAAAGAATGCAAAGTTTGGGCAGAATTCTTCGAGATGTGTTTCTTGCTGTTTGTATCCTCTGATTGATTTCTGCTCAACCCAAGGTTTAATTTTAAATAAGCAGTATGTATTTTTAACATCCAGAAAGAGCTCATCTCATTTTAAAGCTCCATAATTTTAAATCTATAATGAACAGGAATGAATTACTGTTTGTTCACTTGTTTTTGAGAGGCTGAGTTTCCTTCCTGAAGATGAGCAGATATTTAAACTCAATCTTGTTTCTGTTCTCTGCTGTTTATTTATAGCTGAAAAAAAACTAAACAATGGTTGAATATAAATCTCTTGCCATAAATAAGACATAATATTTGACCTATTAATCCTAGTATCTCAAAATAACAGGAATTAATATCAGCTAGTCTCTTTGACTCATTACTTAATTAGACTTGTCATAATTTGGGTAAAAATTACATATATATAATATACATATATTATTATATATACAGAGGGTACGGAAAGTATTCAGACCCCCTTAAATTTTTCACTCTTTGTTATATTGCAGCCATTTGCTAAAATCATTTAAGTTAATTTTTTTTCCTCATTAATGTACACACAGCACCCCATATTGACAGAAAAACACAGAATTGTTGACATTTTTGCAGATTTATTAAAAAAGAAAAACTGAAATATCACATGGTCCTAAGTATTCAGACCCTTTGCTGTGACACTCATATATTTAACTCAGGTGCTGTCCATTTCTTCTGATCATCCTTGAGATAGTTCTACACCTTCATTTGAGTCCAGCTGTATTTGATTATACTGATTGGACTTGATTAGGAAAACCACACACCTGTCTATATAAGACCTTACAGCTCACAGTGCATGTCAGAGCAAATGAGAATCATGAGGTCAAAAGGAACTGCCTGAAGAGCTCAGAGACAGAATTGTGGCAAGGCACAGATCTGGCCAAGGTTACAAAAAAAAAATCTGCTGCACTTAAGGTTCCACTCATATATTTAACTCAGGTGCTGTCCATTTCTTCTGATCATCCTTGAGATGGTTCTACACCTTCATTTGAGTCCAGCTGTGTTTGATTATACTGATTGGACTTGATTTGGAAAGCCACACACCTGTCTATATAAGACCTTACATCTCACAGTGCATGTCAGAGCAAATGAGAATCATGAGGTCAAAGGAACTGTCTGAAGAGCTCAGAGACAGAATTGTGGCAAGGCACAGATCTGGCCAAGGTTACAAAAAAATTTCTGCTGCACTTAAGGTTCCCAAGAGCACAGTGGCCTCCATTCCTTAAATGGAAGACGTTTGGGATGACCAGAACCCTTCCTAGAGCTGGCCGTCTGGCCAAACTGAGCTATCGGGGGAGAAGAGCCTTGGTGAGAGAGGTAAAGAAGAACCCAAAGATCCCTGTGGCTGAGCTCCAGAGATGCAGTCGGGAGATGGGAGAAAGTTGTAGCAAGTCAATCATCACTGCAGCCCTCCACCAGTCGGGGCTTTATGGCAGAGTGGTCCGACGGAAGCCTCTCCTCAGTGCAAGACACATGAAAGCCCGCATGGAGTTGTGAGATGGTGAGAAATAAGATTCTCTGGTCTGATGAGTCCAAGATAGAACTTTTTGGCCTTAATTCTAAGTGGTATGTGTGGAGAAAACCAGGCACTGCTCATCACCTGTCCAATACAGTCTCAACAGTGAAGCATGGTGGTGGCAGCATCATGCTGTTGGGGTGTTTTTCAGCTGCAGGGACAGGACGACTGGTTGCAATTGAGGGAAAGATGAATGCGGCCAAGTACAGGGATATCCTGGACGAAAACTTTCTCCAGAGTGCTCAGGACCTCAGACTGGGCCGAAGGTTTATCTTCCAACAAGACAATGACCCTAAGCACACAGCTAAAATAATGAAGGAGTGGCTTCACAACAACTCTGTGACTGTTCTTGAATGGCCCAGTCAGAGCCCTGACTTAAACCCAATTGAGCATCTCTGGAGAGACCTAAAAATGGCTGTCCACCAACGTTTACCATCCAACCTGACAGAACTGGAGAGGATCTGCAAGGAGGAATGGCAGAGGATCCCCAAATCCAGGTGTGAAAAACTTGTTGCATCTTTCCCAAAAAGACTCATGGCTGTATTAGATCAAAAGGGTGCTTCTACTAAATACTGAGCAAAGGGTCTGAATACTTAGGACCATGTGATATTTCAGTTTTTCTTTTTTAATAAATCTGCAAAAATGTCAACAATTCTGTGTTTTTCTGTCAATATGGGGTGCTGTGTGTACATTGAGGAAAAAAAATTAACTTAAATGATTTTAGCAAATGGCTGCAATATAACAGAGTGAAAAATGTAAGGGGGTCTGAATACTTTCCGTACCCACTGTATATGCAATTACATATACATATACACACACACACTTACACATTCAAAATGAATATTTAAAATGGTCTATGATTACATACTTTTAGATTATCATAAAACGCTAAAAATGCAATATTTATATGATGGGTTCACATATTTAAAGACTGAATATTTTTTGATCATAGAATTTTTTATTGCAACGCAACAATCTTTTTTTGACTCATTACTAAATCAGACCATCAAAACTTAATCAGACAGTAATTTTTATATCAATTTAATTCAGTTTTATTTTCAATTATAATAATTCTCAACTTTTTATAACCAAAATACACCAAATAATACATTAAAAACAACATACTGGCATACTACTCTTCTGTTTGAAATGTTACAGCAAACGGTTTCATTTTTACAAAAATAACCAGTATACGGTGTAAACTGCACAGTATACAGTAAACAGTACGTAAGCACTCCATTCCAAACATATCTCTCATCTACACGAAGCAATTAACTAATGTGTTTTTACCACCATAATGAGAGCGGTTTAGGCCGAACTACTGATATCCTGGTGCGAGCATTGCTGTGACTGTCAGTTTGAGCTTTCTCATAAAGCAGCGGAGGTTAATATGCAATTGCTCACCACACACGTTTGGACGCAGAGGCCCAGCGGCCTGGCAAGCAGTTCAGAAGAATCACATTCACTGCCATAATTAACTGTGATCAAGCCTCTCCGCAGCTTTGATGGCCACCTCATATTAGTGTCACCAATGAGTGTTCAAACGTTGCAGCTTTCGCAGAGACGTACAGATCGCTTCAGAATGAATGAGAGGACAACCTGACACGGGGGACGTGAGGATAGAGGGTATCGCATACGTACATGCTTTTCATGTTCAAGAGAGAGCCAAACACATCATGTGAATTATTCAACAGCTGTGCAGAGAATTTTATCAATAGCTAAAAATCCAGGGATTTCACATCGTTACCTAAACCAGCTTAAGCTAAATGTTAAGGTTTAACTGGGAAAAAAATGGATGAAGATGATATGTATGTAACATAATGATATGTTTTACCTTTCCGTCTTCAGAGTATACATTCTCATGATAACCTCTGACAATCGTGCGGTCAATAAAAAGGCTCCTCATTACCACAATGGCTTTCAAAACCTTGCCCAGGGTGACCTGGAAAGAAATAAGACAACAGAAGATAGGATGAGTGGATGATATTTCAACTATGGCCACTTTTTGCATTCACAAAAAGAACCTAAAGAAGAAAGTGAAAAAGACTGAAGACTGAAAACTTTTAAAGGAAGTTAAGACTAAAAACTTCCTTAAAAGACCTTGTGCTATGTCTCTTAATATTCTGTGGTGGAAATTACATTTAAAATAAAATGTTCATCTCCTTTCTTGCTAAGCAATACAATCAACACTAAATACAAACAATTAAATATTTTCACATTTTTGGCTTATTTGACAAAATCACACCTTGTCTGGAAATTATGAATTTAAGAATTTTTTTTTAAACAATTCTTGAATTTATGTCAAATATTTATTTACATAATATGTACACACTTTGAAATCAATCTCAAGTATGCTCTTACTGACTGTTTGTCTTCATGGAAACCAACTACACTAATTTTTGATAAAACTTTATTAGTGGCAAAATCATCTATGTAACAGAAATGACATTCAGTCGTCATGATTTGGGTAAAAAAAAAAAAAAATCTAAATAAATATTGAAATGGTTTGATTATTTCATTTTTTGTTAATGATAAAAAATGCCATTATATTTTCATGATGATTGAAATATTTTAAGACTGCGAATATGGATAAATATGCATTAATCTATGCATAAAATACACAAAATTTGCAAAAATAAATGATAATCATGGTAAAGAGTTTTAGGTAACACTTAAAGCCTTTGTGTCTAATGCATTATAAAGGGTTATAAAGGATATAATGCATTTTAATTATTCATAATTCATTAATTCATAATTAACTCATATTCATAATAATGCATAATATCTTAAATAATTATAAACAAATTATAAACAAATTTAAAATTCAAAGTGTAACAATTAATTGATAAGTGTCATAATGTATTAACTGTGGTTACAATTATTCATAATATTGTACAATGCATTACAAAGCATAATTAATGCATTAAAACTTTTTTTTTTTTACATAAAGGCTTTAAGTAAAGTGTTACCGAGTTTTAATACAGTATAACCTTCATAAACAAACACAATTTTTTTTTAATTTAAATAAGAATGAACTTTTGGATCGTAATTCATATTTAACTATGACCACTTTTTGCCCTCTTGTGTTAACAAAAAAAAAAAGCCTGCCTTAGACCATCTTTGTGACTTTCTTCTCAACTTCTTTTTTCTGAAGCATTTTTCGAATTTAAAAAATAAAAATTTTCAGATGTAAAAAAAAAAAAAAAAGATTCTTGATTTTTCTTTACATCAAATATTCATGTAAATGTCATCTTCACAATAAATATTGATACAGCTGCTAAAAATGCAAATATTTTTATGATGTATTGAACGTTTAAAGACTGAAAATATTCATAAAATATGCATAAATCTATGCATAAAATACAGATAAAATGAGCAAAAAATAAATGATAGTCATAGTAAAAAGTTTTAGTATGACTGTCATAAACAAAATGTAAAAAGTTAATTTGTTTATTTTAATAACAATTAACTTTTGGGACATAAAAGTGGTTGCAATCAGGGCCGCATTAACCATTGGGCTAGGCGGGGCTGAAGCCCCGGGGCCCGGACAAGGAGAGGGCCTGTGGAGTAGATTGACTGGTCATCGGTAGCGCTGATTGCCAAAGTCCCGCCCCTCACTTATTAACGCTATTATTTAGTAGAGCTTTTCCATATATTCCATGCATTACCTTTAGAGATTAAAACGTCATGTTTGAATTTGGTTTACCAATCAAATGCATTTATTCTATATTTTTTTTACTTTTGAACGACCCGTGCACCACGTATCAATCAGGTGATCGCTGCAATGTCCACATTCACCTCTCTTCACTTCGTTCTGGCATAATCTGGAAATGGTCATGCAAAGAACAATCTTCGATAAGTAAAAATGTAAACTAAAGAAAGCGAGAGAGGGGCCATTCTAAAAAAAAAAAATGAGTTAGTCAGTAAAATCCCCAGCTATCAGGCTATTTTACTAAAGCTGATGATGGAGTGGAAGTTGTGAAACAGCAAGTGTACCGGGCACATGGAGCAGATAAAATCACAGCGTCATCGTCCCCACAGATTTTAGGTTAGTTTGATTAACAAGTTAACAACTTGATGGATGTATATTGCTTTTTGTGTTTGAACAAATTAATTTTGGCAAATGCGCGCATTATGGCCTGATTCACGTGCACCTGCCAGTCTAAATTCTCGCGCCTTGTGCTTAAACGTTCAAATGTTGTGTGTCAAAATGTCTTCTCGTCAACACAGTCATTTGTGTCGTAAATGAACGTTAATAGTTAAATATAAAGCAAGTGTAGTAGTAGGCTATGTGAGATCCTAATATGATGAGATTTTAAAGTGATAGTTCACCCAAAAATGAAAATACTGTCATAATTTACTCAGCCTCAAGTTGTTCTAAACCTGTATGAATTTCTTTGTTCTCCTCAACATAAAAGAAGATATTTTGAAGAATGTTCGTAACTAGAAAGTTTCTGGTCCCATTGACTCCAGTAGTGTATTTTGTTTTTCATACTATGGAAGTCATGGGGGCCCAGCAACTGTTGGGTTACCAGTATTGTTCCAAATATATACCTTTACATTCAACAGCAGAAGGAAACTCATACAGGTTTAGAACAACAACAGACCTTTAATTTGTGGGTGAGCTATTCCTCTAAAGCAGCCTAATTTACACAATAAATATTGATACAGCTGCTAAAAATGCAAATATTTTTATGATGTATTGAACGTTTAAAGACTGAAAATATTCATAAAATATGCATAAATCTATGCATAAAATACAGATAAAATGAGCAAAAAATAAATGATAGTCATAGTAAAAAGTTTTAGTATGACTGTCATAAACAAAATGTAAAAAGTTAATTTGTTTATTTTAATAACAATTAACTTTTGGGACATAAAAGTGGTTGCAATCAGGGCCGCATTAACCATTGGGCTAGGCGGGGCTGAAGCCCCGGGGCCCAGACAAGGAGAGGGCCTGTGGAGTAGATTGACTGGTCATCGGTAGCGCTGATTGCCAAAGTCCCGCCCCTCACTTATTAACGCTATTATTTAGTAGAGCTTTTCCATATATTCCATGCATTACCTTTAGAGATTAAAACGTCATGTTTGAATTTGGTTTACCAATCAAATGCATTTATTCTATATTTTTTTACTTTTGAACGACCCGTGCACCACGTATCAATCAGGTGATCGCTGCAATGTCCACATTCACCTCTCTTCACTTCGTTCTGGCATAATCTGGAAATGGTCATGCAAAGAACAATCTTCGATAAGTAAAAATGTAAACTAAAGAAAGCGAGAGAGGGGCCATTCTAAAAAAAAAAAATGAGTTAGTCAGTAAAATCCCCAGCTATCAGGCTATTTTACTAAAGCTGATGATGGAGTGGAAGTTGTGAAACAGCAAGTGTACCGGGCACATGGAGCAGATAAAATCACAGCGTCATCGTCCCCACAGATTTTAGGTTAGTTTGATTAACAAGTTAACAACTTGATGGATGTATATTGCTTTTTGTGTTTGAACAAAGTATATTCGCTTATGGGTTGAGAGATAAACCGGTAGAAATTTATCAATCGTTTTGCGTGGCATTAAGCTTTTCATTTAAACGCATTTTAAGCATTATGGTTTAAAAACAAATTTAACTTGTTCAGGGACATTAAGCAGTGGGACAAAATTAATTTTGGCAAATGCGCGCATTATGGCCTGATTCACGTGCACCTGCCAGTCTAAATTCTCGCGCCTTGTGCTTAAACGTTCAAATGTTGTGTGTCAAAATGTCTTCTCGTCAACACAGTCATTTGTGTCGTAAATGAACGTTAATAGTTAAATATAAAGCAAGTGTAGTAGTAGGCTATGTGAGATCCTAATATGATGAGATTTTAAAGTGATAGTTCACCCAAAAATGAAAATACTGTCATAATTTACTCAGCCTCAAGTTGTTCTAAACCTGTATGAATTTCTTTGTTCTCCTCAACATAAAAGAAGATATTTTGAAGAATGTTCGTAACTAGAAAGTTTCTGGTCCCATTGACTCCAGTAGTGTATTTTGTTTTTCATACTATGGAAGTCATGGGGGCCCAGCAACTGTTGGGTTACCAGTATTGTTCCAAATATATACCTTTACATTCAACAGCAGAAGGAAACTCATACAGGTTTAGAACAACAACATACCTTTAATTTGTGGGTGAGCTATTCCTCTAAAGCAGCCTAATTTATGTCAATGATGTTAATCAAACATTAGAAAGAAAATCACTCACTGTCCTTGACCAAATCACTTTTGTAAAATAAATAAGAATGAATGTATATTGAATTTATACAGTGAAGACTATTCAGTTTGTTTGTACAGTTATTTTATACAATATAATTTATTATTCAGTGCTTTAAGTGTTTCAAGTAGGTCTATTTTTTTGTAATTTGTGGCTGTTTACTTGTCTTAAGTATAAGCTTGTTTTTACTTGGGTTATAATTTTTATTTTTTTTTTAGTATTGAAATTGGTAACAAGAATTATGAAATTTCAATGCATCAATTTTGATGGGATAAAAATCCTATTTAAAGCTATATATACAGTATATTTTATTTGTAATGGGGGGCCCTGCAGTAAGTCATAGCCCCGGGGCCCTGTAAGGTCTTAATGCGGCCCTGGTCGCAATTAATATTTATTCAACCAAAATATCTTTATTTTAGAGTTGAATTGCAAATCAGAAACAGCTGGTTTGGCCAATTTTTCTCAATTACTAAAACATATAGCACAAAACCCATCTCTTCTGAGAATTAGTTTTCCTTCATGCCAAAAAAAGTTCACACTCCAGCCTGAAACCATCTGCTGTCAGGAGGGGTTTCGCTTGAGTCTTTTGGCTTAAAATGGGTTTAATCTAAGGCAAAGGAGGAAATCCCAGTACAATATTCTTAAATCCTCACATTCACGCTACACACACCTCAGAGAGAAAGACAGATACAGTAC